AACCCCATCTCTACTATAAATAGAAGAAATTAATTGGCAACTAATTATATAGAAAAAAATTAGCCAGCATGTGCGCGCATGCCTGTAGTCCCAGCTATTCGGGAGGCTGGAGGCAGGAGATTGCCTGAGCCAGAGTTGAGGTTGCTGTGAGCTTGGCTGATGCCATGGCACTCACTTAGCCGGGCAACAAAAGAGACTCTGTCTCAAAAAAAAAAAAATTGATTCCATTTCTCTTTATGTGCATTTCTCTGACTGCTGGATGAGCTTAACATGTTGTTCGGCTTGTTGTGCAAGATCGTATCTAAGTTGTTATTAAAGCTCCCTTTATGTCTTCTGATCATTTTCCTTTTGAAATTTTAAATTCTAAAATCATTTAAATAAAATGGATACAAAGTGATACGTTGTGTATACCTTCACCCAGCTTCCCCTGATGTTAACAAGCTCACGATGACCAGGGAGTACGAGTTTTAAAACCGATAAGAGAACTTATGCTGTTGTTCATGAGCTGTGTTGAACTGCTGGTGTATCTTTGTCCAGGTGGAAATATTATGTCTTGAGCTCAGCGCTCACTGTGTGTCCCATGATGTGTCTCTGATTTGTTGTGTATGTTTAGATGCTAGCTAGTATTCATTTGTCTGTCGTGTCCTAGGAGTTGATCTTTTGACCTATAGTAGGAGTCTGTTCAGGCTTGTCTCTCCGCCCGTACAGGCTTTTGTGTGGAGGTGGAGTATCTTGAGCACTGTGGTGATACTGTGTTCAAAAGCTTGCATCTAAGCTAGTGTTTATTGCCTTATCAGAAGATGTATGAAGTCACTGTAAAATACTTAAGTCTTATGCTAGGCATTTACTGAACCTCGGGACCATTGACATTTGACGAAAATTCTTTGTCCTGAGGGCTTCTGTGCCTGTGTAGAGATGATATGTTACTATGCTCGTTCATAACAAGAATATCCACAATCTGAGTAAACGACAGAAATGTATATGCTCACAGTGTCTGGAGCATAGAAGTCTGAGGGAGTTGACAGGTTGGTGCCTTTAGCAGCGAGAAGGAAAATCTTAGTTCCATGGCCTCTTCTACGTACTGGGTTTACTGCAATCTTGTGTCTTTGCTTTGTGCATACCCAGATCTCTGCCCTTGTTTTTGGCCATGAGTTTGCTCTGTTCCCAGCGTACGAGGCTGTGGATTTGTGACATCAGCCTTGCTCACAGCAAGCCTCAATCCTGGTGCGTAGTGTATCGCTGCCTCCTCAGCCTCCTGAGTAGCGGCTAGCAGACACATGCCACAGCCCTATTGTTAATTTTTTCTATTTTAGTGCCTAGCTAATGATTTCTAAGTTTTAGTAGAGATGCATCTTCGTCTTGCTCAGGCTGCCGAACCCCTTGACTCAATAATCCCTGCCTCAGCGCTCCCAGATGCTAGGATTACGGTTGAGAGCCAACCCATGCGCTGTCTGTCGCCTCATCGTTACATTCATTCTCCCTGTGTGATGTGTGTGTGTCCGTCCTATTTCCCTTTTTCATAAAGATACTGCCATAAGTTGATTAGGGGCCACCGTACTTCAGCATGACCTCAGTTCGTACTGTTAACTATTGTACATCTTGCAACAACCCTATTTCCAAGTAGTCACATTTGAGGGTACCGGAGTTAAGGACTTCACATATGAAGTTTGGGCGGTTGCAATTCCACCCGATGACAGATGTTTAGCAAGAGAGAAAAAGAAGGGGGAAGAGAGAGCAGCCCCACATCCAGAAGTGACCTTGCACCCATCCGCTAGGCATGTAATTCGTTCCTATCAGAAGTCTCCGAAGGGAAGGGAAGAAGGGAAGGGAAGGGAAGGGAAATAAACTTTACCAAATTTTTGGGATGCAGCAAAGCAGTGCTTATTTACGGGGAAATTTAAAAGGCACTGTGGCTTCTGCTGTGCTTTTCCTTGGATCTCTTACTCTAGTGGAAGCCAGCCACCATGTCATGGAGACACTCAAGGAGTCTCTCGAAGAGATACACACACTGCAGAATCGAGGCACCCCAGCTAAAGCCAGTACTACCGTGCCAGTCATGGGAGTAATCCAGCTTGGAAGTGGAGCATCTGGCCCCAGTCAAACCTTCAGATGATGGCAGCCTGAGAAACCCAAAGCCAGAGCCACCCAGCTAAGTTGCTCCTGAATTCCTGACTTGCAGAAACTGTGTGAGATAATTAATGTTTACTATTGTGTTAAGCCAGTAAATTTGGAGGTAATTTGTTACACAGCAATAAATAACTCATAAATGTTGTTTCTGAGCAATTTGAGGATCTGTCCAGGGTTCAAGACTTCTGAGACTTTTCATGGCCTATATCCATGCTATGATGTCTGGATTTTGGGGGCATTCTGTATTTCACATTTTTAGGTCTCTGTTTTTTTTTGGTTTCCCTCTCTCTAGGATTTTAGATCTCTGAACTATTTGGAGACCTATGTCCCACAGTGTAGGGATTCTGGGTTGTTTTTCTGTGCATGTTCAGAATGTGATCGTAACTGTTTGGGATCCTTTTTTTTTTTTTTTTTTTTTTTGCTCAAGAAACTGAAATCTATGTTTGGGATCCTTAATGCTAGGGTATGATGTCTCTAAGATACTTTCTACTTGGCTCCAGAATTTGAATTCTCTGAGCTTTCTGGCAGACTGTATTCTGAGTGTGAGGTCACTGGGGTGTTTGGGAGTCTGTGTCTTAGGTTTCACATCCATGAACTCTTTGGAGGACTGTATACTGGTGTTGTTTACTCTTTGAGGTGTATAGATTTTTAAATCCCAGGAGGAGACATCACCAAGGTGACTGGAGCCTGCATCCAAGACACTAGGTGTTAGAGTTGTTTGGGCCACTTAGTCCTTGGATATGAAATTTCTAATGTGTTTGAGAGTCTATGTCCAGATATTGATATTTCTCAGTTTGAAGGGAGAGGGAATCAGTTCTCTGAACTGTTTACCAATATATGTCCCAGGATGTAAGGTTCCTGAGCTGTTTGTGGTTGTGCCTGACATGTTTATAGCTGTATATCACAGTGTATGAGGTATCTGTTCATGGGTATATGTACCAGGGTGTGAGGTATCTGAATTCTTTGAGTGTGTGTGTCCAAGGTTGTGAGATCTCTGATCTATTTGAGTCTATAGTTCCTAGAATGAGAGCTTTCTTATTTCTTTGTGGGTATATATTCCAAGGTGTGAGTTCTATGATCTGTTTGGGTATGTATGTGAGGTTTCTGCTCTGTTCGTGGGCATATGTCCAATGTTGTAAGGTTTCTGATCTGCTTGTGAGAATATGTCCCAGGGTATGAGGTCTCTGATCTGTTTTTAGTTTTATGTCCCTGGATATTAGATCTCTGATCTCTTTGTGGGTATAGTGCCAATGGTGGGAGGTCTCTGAATTCTTTCAGGTTATATTTCCCTGAATGTTATATTTCTGAGTTTTTTAAATTGTATTTTCTAGGGATATGAGTACTCTTATCTGTAGGTTATATGGGTATTGCAGAATACAAGGACTATTGTTTCCAAGGGTATATGTCCCAAGGTGTGAGATCTCTGTCATGGCTGTGGGTATATGTCTCTAGGTGTGAGGTCCCTAAAATGTTTGTGGGTATATTTCCCAGGATGTGAGTTCCCTGAGCTCTTTCTTAGTGGGTGTATATCCCAGAATATGCAATCTATGATCGATTTGTGAGTATATGTCCCAGAATGTGAGGTCTCATATCTATCTATCCCTATATATGTTCCAGTACGTGAGGTATCTCTTCATGGGTGTATGTCAAGGGTATGAGGTCTCTGATATTTTTGCGGTTATATGTCCCAGGGTATGAGGTCTCTGATCTGTATGGGGGTAAATTTCTCAGAGTGAGTTCTCAAGTCCATTTGTGGCTATATGAGCTAGGATGTTGGTCTCTCCTCTCTTTGGGTGTGTTTGTCCCATGGTGTGAAGCCTCTGAGCTCCTTGTCAGTATATATGCAGACATATGATGTGTCTGATCTCTTTGGTGGTATATTTCCCATGATGTGAAGTCTCTGGTCCATTTGTTGCTGTATACTAATATGTGCCTATCTTCACTGGTGTATGTCAAAGTCAATTTGTGAGTGTATTTTCCACGGTATGAGGTCTCTGATTTATTTCTGGGTGTATGTCTTGAAGTAAGAAGTCTCTGATGTGTTTGTCCACATATGTCTCTGTATATAAGATCTCTAATCTGTTCATGAATATACGGAGAATTTGAGGTCTTTCATCTTCTTTATGGTTATAATCCCCAGATGTGATGACTGTGTTATGTTTGTGGCTGTATGTCCTAGAATTTTAGGTATATGTAAGTATGTCCCCAGACATTCTCTGATCTGTTTATGGGTATATGTCTCAGGATTCTTATTTTGTTTTTCATTTGCTACCCTTTTTTCCTATTATTTATTTATTTTAATTTCAGAATATTACAGGGGTACAAACACTCCCCTTAGGTGTGAATTTACCCATCCCCTCCTCCCCCCTCACCTGCCTGACACCCAATGAATGTGGCTTGAGTGCCTCTTCTGTGCCAGTGCCCCTCAAAGCAATGTGAATATATTATTAGGTAATTTAATTCTAAAAATGTTCTGAAGTAGGTACTGTTATTACTCTCATTTTATAGATAAGGAAACTGAGGCTCAGAGAGGTCAAGATCACTCAGCTAGTAAATGACCCAACACTCTCTTGCTCCAGAGCTTGTTCTCTTAACCCAGTTAGAGGTAAATAGATTCTTGATTTTTCCCCAAACGCTGCTAAGAATGATCATTTGAAACATGTCTTCATATGCATTACAGTAAAAATAAAATTAGCCAAAGCTTCTTGCTAATGCCCAACACAATTTATTCCTCACATTTAATCCTCACAAACAAGAAGAAACCAAAGCTCCGAGGAGCTGACTTTGCCTAAGGGCACTGCTCATAATAGGTTGAGGCAGCACTCACACATCTCAGCGCAACTCCAAACTCCAAAGAATGTCTCAGGATTTGAGGTTGAGGTCTCTGATCTGTTTGTGGATGTATTTTCCAAATGGGAGATCTTTGACATGTTTGTGGATGTATGTTCCACAGTGTGAGGTCACCGATATGTTTGTGCATATATGTCCCAGGATTTGAGGTCTGTGATGTGCTTGTCACCGTAATTACCAGTATGTGGGTTATCTTTCATGAGTATATGCCAAGAATGGAAGTCCTCTGATAGGCTTGTGATTGTATAAATCTGGCTATGAGGTCTCTTTATCTGTTTATGGGTGTGTATCTCCATGTGTGAGGTCTATGAGGTCTTTGTGTGTTTTTGTTGTTGTTGTTGTTTGTTTGTTTGTTTTTTTGAGACAGAGTCTCACTCTGTTTCCCGGGCTAGAGTGCTGTGGGGTCAGCCTAGCTCACAGCAACCTCAAACTCCTGGGCTAAAGCAATCCTCCTGCCTCAGCCTCCTGGGTAGCTGGGACTGCAGGCACATGCCACCATGCCTGGCTAATTTTTTCTATTTTTAGTTGTTTGACTACTTTCTTTCTATTTATAGTGGCGATGGGGTCTCACTCGTGCTCAGGCTGGTCTCAAACTCCTGAGCTCAAGCATTCCTCCCACCTTGGCCTCCCAGAGTGCTAGGATTACAGGTGTGAGCCACGACGCCCGGCCTATGAGGTCTTTTTGGATGTGTGTCTCCTAGTGTAAGGTCTCTGATATGTCTGGGGGTTTATTTACCAGGATATAAGGTTTATGATCTTTTTCTCATTGTGTGTCCCAGGATGTGAGGTCTGTGGCTGTCATTGTGTGTCCTGTTATGTGAGGTCTTTTTTCATCGGTGCATGTGAAAAATGTAACATCTTTGATCTATCTGTGGTATTATGTCCCTGGGTGTGAGGTCTCTGATCAGTTTGTGGATTCTTAGAGTTTGATATCATCGATCTGTTTGTAGGTATATGTCCCATAATGTGATGTCTCTGATCTTTTCAAGGGTATATGTCCCATGATATGGAGTATCTAATCTATTCCTCAGTGTGTTTCCAAATGTGAGATCTCTCACCTGTGCAAGTGTGTATGTTCCATGATGTGAGGCCCCTATCTTTTGGCAGGTCTATTCCAAAGAGTATAAGCTCCCTCATCTCTTTTGGGTGGTATATGTCATAATTTGAGAAGGCTCTGCTTCATTTCTGAGTTTATTTTCCAGTATGTGAGGTCTCTGATCTGTTTGTGGTATATTCTGCAAGATCTGAGTTCTTCATGGATATACATACCAGGCTTTGAGGGCTCTCACATGTTTATGTGTATGTATTGGGTGTATATAACCTAAGCTCTTTAGTTGTGAATGTCTAGGGTTTGGGGTTTCAAAGTGCTCATTGTGAATGTATGCCCCTTGGTCTAAATCCTCTGGTCTCTTTGTGGGTACATGTCCCTGGATATGAGCTCTATTATCTCTTTGTGGGTGTATCTTACAAGATATTAGGTCTATGATCTATTTCTGGATCCTTTGCATGTCTGGTTTCTCATGTGCTTGTGCATGTATGTTACAGCATTTGGGATCTCTGATTGTATATGGTCTCTGATGTGTTTTGGAGTATATCCCATGATGTGAGCTCCCTGATCTGTTCGTTGGCATATGTCTCAGAGTGTGAGGTCTCTGATCTCTTTGTGGGTGTATGTTGCAGGGTTTGAGGGCTCTGTGGTCTCTTTGTGGTCTAGGTTGGGAGGTCTCTAATCTCTATGTCGAGGTGTATGGGAACTCCCTGATCCTTTCTGTGGGTATGTGCCTAATGATGTGAAGATTCTGATCTGTTTTCTGGTAGATGAACCAGGTTGAGGGGACACTGACATGTTTGAGGGTGTTTTCTCAGTATGTGAGTTCTGTGACCTGTTTCTGAATACATGTCCTAGGATATGATGTCTCAGAGCTATTTGTGGATGTGTATGCCTGGCATGAGTTTTCTGAGCTGTTCATGGATGTATGCCCCAGATTGTTAGATCTGTGATGCTTTTGGCATCACTTGCAAGAATATGAGATTTCTGATTTGTATACTTGTATATATAACAGGTGGCAAAGTTTATTATTTGTTAAGGTGTGTATATCCAGGGTATGAGGTATCTGAGCTCTTTGTGGGTGTACATCTCAGGGTCAAGGCCTCTGATCTGTTTGCAGGTATATGTCCTAGGCCCTCTCTCATCTTCTTGTGGGTGTATACCCCAAGATGTCAAGTATCTTTAATTATTCTGAGTGTATTCCATAGGATGTGAGATCTCTAATACGTTGTAGGTTCTTGCTGTAGGATTTGAGGTCTCTAATCCATTTTGGTTGTATTTCTCAGATGATGTCTCTGATCTGTTTGTGTACATATATCGCAATATGTGAGTTTTTAAAAACATCTCTTTTGTTTGCTTGTCAAGGATGTGAGGTCTGTTCTGTTTGTGGGATCTCCTAATATGTGAGATCCCAGACCTGTTTGTGGGTGTATGTCCCAGAACACGTGTGAGTCTGCTCTCCTAAGATGTATGTCTAAAGATAGGAAGTCTCTGATCACTTTCTAGATGTGTAACACAGGATGAGAGATGTGAGCTGTTTGCAGTGTATGTGCCAGGACTTTAGGTCTCTGAGCTTTGTGGAGGTATGTGTTTTGTGATGTGAAGTCTCTGTGCATGTATGTCTCTGTTGTGCTGACTTAAGGCTCCTTAAGATTCCCATGTTCTAGGCCGGGCGCTGTGGCTCACGCCTGTAATCCTAGCTCTTGGGAGGCCGCGGCGGGCGGATTGCTCAAGGTCAGGAGTTCAAAACCAGCCTGAGCTCTCTACTATAAATAGAAAGAAATTAATTGGCCAACTGATATATATATATAAAAAAAAAAAATAGCCGGGCATGGTGGCGCATGCCTGTAGTCCCAGCTACCCGGGAGGCTGAGGCAGAAGGATCACTCGAGCCCAGGAGTTTGAGGTTGCTGTGAGCTAGGCTGACGCCACGGCACTCACTCTAGCCTGGGCAACAAAGCGAGACTCTGTCTCAAAAAAAAAAAAAAAAAAAAGATTCCCATGTTCTAGTCTTTGGAAACTTTATATGACATTACATGTTTAAAGAGTCTTTGCAGGTGTGATTAAATTAAGCATCTTGGGATGGGGAAATTTTCCTGGATTTTCTAGGTGGGTCCAATATCATCACAAGGGTCCATAAATGAGAGGGACAGGATTGTTGTCACTGAATACAATATAATGACACAAGCCAAGTCAGAGATAGCAGTATGATGATAGAAGTATTTTGGGGTATGTGTCCCAGCTTGTGAAGTCTTGGCACCATTCATGGGAATATATCCTAGGACGTGAAATCGCTAATTGTTTGTGCACATTTGTCTGTGGTCGGCTGAATAAAGCATCCTCCAAAGAGGTCCATTGAAAGAGATGGGACCAGGGAGCCCTGAATGAGGCAAGGAGATGTGATGATGGAAGCAGAGTCAGAGGAGATGTGTCAACAGAGGCAGAGATCAGAGAGAGATTTGAAAATGAAACGCTATCTGCTTTGAAGGTAAAGGAAGGAGTAAGGGATGAAGGGCTGCAGGCAGCTCTAGAACCTGGAAAAGGCAAGGGAACACATTCTTCCCTAAAGTCTCCAGAAGGAAGACAGCTCTGTTGACACCTGACTTGAGTACTGTAAGACCCATTTTCAGGTTTCTACCCTACACAAATGTAATATAATGAATAAATTTGTGTATCACAGCACTAAGATTGTGGTAATTTGTTACAACAATGATAAGAAATGAACATAGTGTCCCAGGTCATGATGTCTCTATTTGGTTGTTGGTGAACATCCCAGGATGTGAATCCCCGATCTGTTTGTGAGTATGTGTCTAATGTGAAAGGTCTCTATCTGTGTGTGGGTGTATGAACCAGGGTGGGAGGTCTCTGACTTGTTCGAGAGTGTGTCCATAAATTTGTTGTCTCTGAGTTTTTTGTGGGTGTACACCTCAGGATATGATCTGTTGGTGTGTACATGTCCTAGGATGTGAGATCTCTTGGCTGATTTGGGGTGTATGTTCCAGTATGTGAGATCTCTGAGGTATTTGTAAGTTCTGTTTAGGTCATTAGGTCTCTGATGTTTCATGGGTATTTCTTTTTTTCTTTTTTTTGTTTTTATTTTTGTTTAATACAGGACCTAAGATCATGGGTATTTCTGAAATATGAGGTCTGTGATTCATCTGGGAATCCATATATAAGTTAAGCACCCCAAATCTGAAAATCCAAAATCTAAAATGCTTCAAAATCCAAAACTTTTGAGCGCCAACAGAATGCTCAAAGGAAATGCTTATTGGAGCATTTCAGATTTCAGATTTAGGATATTCAACCAGAATGCAAATATTCCAAAATCCAAAAAGAAAAAAGAACCCCAAATCCCAAACACTTCTGGTCTCAAGCATTTCGGATAAGGGCCTCTGTTGTGTTTAAGTGTATATATCCAACTGTGAGGTTTGCAGCTCATTGTGGATATATTATGCATAGCTTGGTGTCTCTGATATTTTTATGGGTCTATATCCCAGGATATGAAGTCTCTGAATTATTTGTGGGTATATTCCAAAGATGTCAGTCTCTAACTGTTTTTCCTGGAATGTGAGATCACTTATTTGATTGTGGGTGTAGGTTGCAGGACTTGAGATTTCTGATCTGTTTTGTGATTGTCTTGGGGTGTGAGATCTCTGATCTGTTTGTATGTATTGCAGGAATTACAGTCTCTCATCTGTTTGTGGGGGAATTTTTTTTTTTTTTTGAAAGGGTGGAGGGTTGTGAGGAGGAGTGTTCAGTTGCCTTGTTTTTTGGTTTTTTGTGGGGTTTTTTGTTGCTGTTGAGACAGAGTCTTACTCTGTTGCCCTGGGTAGAGTACAGTGGCATCATTGTAGCTCACTACAACCTCCAACTCCTGGGCTCTAAGCAATCCTTCTGCCTCAGCCTCCTGGTTAACTGGGACTACAGGTAGAGTCTTGCTCTTGCTCAGGCTGGTCTTGAACTCCTGACCTGGAGGGATCCTCCCACCTCATCCTCCCAGAGTGCTAAGATTATATGTGTAAACCACTGCGCCCGGCCTGTGGGGAAATTTCTTAGATGAGTTCTCCATTCTGCTCTTGTCTTTATTTCACAGTATTTAAGTTTCTAATCTCTTCATGTGTGTTTGTCAAGGATGTGAGTGTCTTCTGTTTGTGATTATATGTCCCAGTGTGTGAGGTCCCTGCCCTATTTGTGGGCATTTGACACAGAACATGTGTCTTACTTCTTTTTTGAATGTATGTGTGAGGGTGGGATGTCTCTGATCTCTTTGGAATTGTATGACACAGGATGTGGGGTCTTTGAGCTGCTTATGTGTGAATACCTCAAGAAGTGATATTTTTAATTGCTTAGTGGATATATATATTGGGTTGGTGGAATGAAGGTCCCTGAAAGATGTCCATGTCCTAATCTCTAGAATGTGTCAATATGTGACCTTAACATGTTAAAAAGTCCTTTGCAGATGTGATTAAGCAATCATCTTGCAATGGGGGAGATGATCCAGAAGCAGACATCAGAGAAAGATTTGAAGCTGAAATGCTGCTGACTTTGAGGATGGAGGAAGGGACCACAAACCAAGGAATACAAGCAGCTCTAGAACCCGGAAAAGGCAAGGGAACAGATTCTCCCCTAGAGCTTCCAGGAGCAACATAGCTCTGCCGACACCTTGATTTTAGCTCTTTGAAACCCATTTTTGGCTTCTCACCTGCAGAAAGGTAAGCTATTACATTTCTGTTGTTTTATAACACTAAGATTATGATTTGTTACAGTGGCAATATCTATCTGTTGGTGCAAATTCAAGGGTGTGAATTCCATGTCTGTTTGTGAGTCTGATGGTGGAAGTCTCTGATCCATGCACAGGTGTATGAACTGTATTGAGAGGTTTCTGAATGTTTGAGGGTATGTGTCCCAGAATCTGTGGCCCCTGAGATGTTTGTGTGTGCATGTCCTAGCATGTGACATCTCTGAGATGATTTTTGGTAGTACATCCCACTATGTGAGGTCTTTGAGATATTTGTAGATTATGTTATATAGGTTGTTAGGTCTCTCATCTGTTTGGGATTATTTCCTATGATATAAGGTTTCTGATTTGTTTGGTTATATATGTACCAGGATGTTAGGTTTGTATCTCCTGTATGTGAGGCCTCTGATCTGTTTGCTAGTAAATGTCCCAGCATATGAGCTCTCTGATCTATTTGCAGGTCTGTTATCAGATGTCAAGTGTATGATCTGTTTGTAGTGTTTTCATAGCCTGTAAGGTCTGTGACTTGATTGTGGCTGTATATTGCAGGATTCAGATCTCTGATCTGTGTATGTTTCAGGTGTGTATGGTCTCTATAGTGTTTGTGGAATATATCCCAGGAAATGAACTTTCTGATCAGTTTGTTATGTATGAAGTTTCTGATCCTTTTGTGGGTATGTGTTGCAGAGTTCGAAGTCTATGGTCACTTTGGGTTCATGTGCAAGTTGTGAGGCCTCTAATCTGTTTGTTGGTGCATACCCCATGATTTCAGCTCCCTGATCTGTTTGATGCTTTATAGCACATAGCATGAAGTACCTGATCTGTTTGTGGCTACATGTTCAGGTTGTGAGGTCTGTTATCTCTTTGTTGGTATATGTCCCAGGATGTGAACGCCCTGATATACTTGTGGGGGTGTGTCTGATGTTGTGAATTCTCTGATCTGTTTTTGGGTCCATGCCCTAAGATGTGTGGCCTCAGATCTAGTTGGGTATGTATGTCCAGGTAGGAAGTTTGTAAACTCTTTGTGGTTTTAGGTCCCATGAACTGAAGCCTCTGATGTTTGTGAGTACATGTCCAGGTTGTGATGTCTCTGATCTGTCTGTCAGTGTGTGTATCCCAGGATGTGAATTCCCTGATCTGTTTGTGGGTGGCATCTGATGGTATGAAATGTCTACTGTGTTCACTGATGAATGAACCAGAGTGTGAAGTCTTTGACCTGTGTTGAAGGTGTTCGCCCAGGATCTGGGTTTTCTGATCTTTTTATGAAAGCATGTCCTAGGAATGTTTGGTCTCTGAGCTGTTTATGGATATACATCCCAAGATGTGGGTTCTCTTAGCTGTCGGGGCATGCATTATTCTAGGTTGGCATATCTCTTGAGTTTTGGGGGTATATTTCTAAGCATATGTGATTTGTTTTCTGATACATATATATATTTTATATATATATTTATTATGTAACATATATATTTTATATCTATGTTATATACATATATTTTATATATGTTTATATATTTATTATGTTACATATATATTATACAGTCATCCCTCAGTATCTGTGGGGCATTGGTTCCAAGAACCTGAAGATACCAAAATCCATGGATACTCAAGTCCCTTATATAAAATGGTATCATATTTGCATATAGCCTACACATATCCTCTTATATACTTGAAATCACCTCTAAGTTCATATATATATATATATATATATATATATATGATCTATTGAGGTGTGTATGTGTCCAGGTTGTGAAGTTATTGAGTTCTTCATGGGTTATTTCCCTTGGTTTGAAAACGTGTTTGGGAATATGTCTCAGAATACAAGCTCTCTTATCTCTTTATGGGTATATGTTGCACAATCTCAGATCTATGATCTGTTTCTGGATCTTTTTCCTAGCATGTGAGGTCTCTGGCTTGATTGTGAGTATATAATGCATGATTTGAAACGTCTGTTTTTTTTGTGGGTATCTATTTCAGGTTGTGAGGTCTCTGATCTGTTTGTGAGTATATGTCTCAAGATGTCAGGTCTCTGTACTTATTATGAGCATGTATCCTGCATGTAAGTTCTCTAGCCTGTTTGTAGTTTCATATTGCAGGATATGTGGTCTCTGATCTCTTTTGGGTTGTATTTCTTATATGAGGTCTGTGATCTCTTTGCTAGTGTACATCACACTATGTGAGTATATGATATCTTTGTGTGTGTTTGTCAAGGGTGCGAGGTCTATTCTGTTTGTTGTTACATCACATCCCAGTCTGTGAGGTACCTAACCTGTTTGTGGGTTTATGTCTAAGAATGTGTTTCTCTCTGCAATTTGTGTACGTCCCGGGTTTGGAGATTTGAGCTGTTTGGGGGAATATTTCATGGATGTGGGGCTCCTGATCTCTTTGTGGGCATATATCCTATCATGTCAGGTCCCTGTTCTCTCTGAGTGTGTACATCCCAGATGGCGAGTTCACTTATATGTTTGTGAGTTTAATTCCAAGTGATTGAGGACTCTAAGCATTATTTGGTGTGTGTCCCAGAATGTGTATCTCTCTGCTTTTTTTGATGTATGTCAGAGGTGTATGAGCTATTTGGAAGTGTATGACTCAGGATGTAAGGTCTGTGAGCTGTTTGTGTGTGTGTGTTTCTCTCATGGCTAGAAAATGGCACTGCAAAGATGTTCACTTTCTAATACCTGGAACCTATGATTATGCTGATTTACATGGAAAGGGGGACTTTGCAGGTGTGATTAAGTTAAATATCCTTAGGGCAATTATCCTAGATTATCTGGGTAGGCCCAGTGTAATCACAGGTGTTTTATATGAGGGAGGCATGAAGACAAGAGTTAGAGAAGGTGATGGAAGCAGAGTGAGAAAAGATGGTATGAAAACATAAACAGAGATAGATATAGCATATATGTGTGTGTGTGTGTGTGTATATATAGTATTATATTATATATAGAGATGAGAGAGAGAGGAGGAGAGAGAGAGATGGATCTAAAGAGAGAGACAGAGACGGGAGAGGGAGAAAGGGAGATAGAAGAGAGATTTGAAGGTGAAACACTGCTGACTTGCAAGATGGAGGAAGGGGCCAGGAGCTCAGGAATGCAGGTGGCCCACAGGAATTGGATTCTCCCCAAGGAACTCCAGAAGAAAGTCAGCTCTGCCCACACCTTGACCTGTAAACCTTGTAAACCTCCTCGTCAGTCTTCTGATCTGCTGATCTGCAGAAATGGAATATAAATGTCTTGTTTTATAACAAAAAGCTTATAGTGATTTGTTTCAGCAGCAATAGAAAACCAATAGTGTCCCATGTTGTGGTGTCTCTATCTGGTTGTCAGTGCATACCCCAGAATGTGAATTCTGTGACCTGTTTGTGAGTGTGTGTGTCTGATAGCAGAGGTCTTTGATTTCTGTGCAGATATATGAACTAGGGTATTAAGTCTCTGATCTGTTTGATCTATTTCATGGTGTGTGTCCCAGAATTCGTGCTCTCGGCTTTTTGGGTGTGTGTGTCCTAGGATGGGAGCTCTCCAGTCTGATTTGTGTAAATGTCCCAGCATGTGAGTCCTCTAGTCTGTTGAGGTGAGTAAGTCCAGAGCGTAAGGATTCTGAGCTCTTGGTGGGAGTATATTCCTTTTGCTTGAAACCCCTGATCTGTTTCTGGGTTTATGTCCCAGGATGTGAGACTCCCTGATCTATTTGTTTGTCTCTGTCTCATGGTGTGAAGCTTCTGGTGTGTTTGTTGGTGAATGAAGCAGAGAGTGAGGTCTCTCACCTTTCTGAAGGGGTTCTCTCAGAAAGTGAGTTCTCTGATCTGATTCTGAATGCATGTCCTAGGATGTGAGGCCTCTGATCTGTTTGTGGATGCACATCTCTGGAGTGAGTTTTCTGAGTTGTTCGTAGGTATAAGTTCCAGGTTGTCAGATCTCTGATATTTTGGGGGTACTTATAAGCATATGAGATTTCTGATTTGTGTGTTGGTATTTACAGCAGATGTCAGCTTTCTTATCCATTGTGGTATATGTATCTACAGTGTGAGGTTTCTGAACACTTTGTGAGTTTATGTCTCATGGCATGAGATCTCTGATCTTGCAGGTATATACCCAAAGATGACAGGTCCCTATACTTCTTCAGGGAGTGTTTTCTGCATGTGAGGTCTGTGACCTGTTTGGTGGTTCACGTTGCTGGATCAGAGGTCTCTGCTGTGGTTTATAGGTGTGTTTCTCAAGTTAGGTCTCTAATCTGTTTGGGTGTGTGTGTCATAGTATGTGAGTGTATCATCTCCTCAGGGTGTTTGCAAAGGGAGTGAGGCCCATTCTTTTTGTGGTTATATGTCCAGTCTGTGAGGTCCCTGACCTGTTTGTGGGTATATATCAGTGAAATGTGTTTTTTTCTGGTCTTTGTGTTTGTGTATGTGTATCCCAGAGTTGGAGGTGTGGTCTGTTTTGGGGTGTTTGTCCCAGAATGTGGGGTCCCTGATCTCTGTATATCCTAGCATGTCAGGACCCTCTTCTCTTTTGATGTGTACCTCCCAGAAAGTGAGTTATCTTATGTATTTTGGGGTTTAATTTCCAGGGTGCGAGGACTGTAAGCTTTAGTTTATGTATGTCCAGAGTGTGTAGCTCTCCGATGCTTTTCGACATACTTCCCAGAGTGAGAGTTCTCTGATCCCTTTGGAGGTATATGACTCCAGATGTGAGATCTGTTAGCAGTTCATGGGTAAAAGTCCCAGGATGTGAGATTTCTCTTTGTTTGTGCATATATGTTCTGTTCGGTTAAATAATGGATCCCCAAATATGTTCTCACCTCACTCCTAGAACTTGTTAATATGTTGCCTTATTTGGAAAAAGGACTTGGAAAATATATTATTAAGTAAGCATCCTGAGATGGACAACCCAAGTGGGCCCGCTCTAATCATAAGTCTTTATATGAGGAAGTTAGGACCTTCAGGGTCAGAGAAGACTAAATGATTATATACATTGTTGAGTCAGAGAGGGCCATGTGATGACAGAAATAGAGTCACAAAAGGTGAAGTAATGATGGAAGCAGAGGTCACAGAGAGAAGGAGACACTTGAAGCCAAAATGCTTGCATCATCTGATCTCTTTGGGAGTTATGCTGCAAGGTGTCATGTCTGCCATCTGTTTCTGGGTGCATTTTTTAGCATGTGAATTGTGACTTGATTATGGCTATATATGGCAGGATTTGAAGTCTCTGACCTGTTTGCTTTTTTGTGCTCTAGGATGTGAGGTCTCTGAGCTGTTTGGCCATGCATATTGCTGGATTGGAGGTCTCTGATCTATGTGTGGGTGCGTGTCCAGGTTGTGAGGTCTTTAATCTTTTTGTCAGTGTATATCCCAGGATGTGAGCTCTCTGATCTGTTTGCAGCTATATTCCTAGGATTTCAGTCATTGATATGTTTCTGGGTGTGTGCCTCAGGATCTGTTGTCATTGTAGTTCCAGGCTGCAAGGTTTGTGAATGGTTTGTGAGAGTGTTTTGTAGGATTTTATGTCTGTGATCTATTTGAGGCCATGTGTCCTAGGATATGAGGTTTCTGATCTATTTTGGGGTATATTTCCTAGCATGTGAAGTCTGTGAACATTTGTCAATGTCCCAGGAAATGATATTGCTGATCTCTGCATGTGTATTGTCAAACATTTAAGGTCCCTGATTTGTTTCTTGCTATTTGTTCCAGGATGTGAGATCCCAAACTATTTGTGGATATGTGTCTTTAGGGTATGTGGTCTCTAATCTGTTTGTGGGCTTGTATATTCCAATGTTTGATTGTCTTTACTCTCTTTGTGGATTATTTATTCCCCAGTATTTTTATGAGTATTTCCTAGGATGTACATTCCCCTGGTCTTTTTTCAGTGTATGTCCCAGGGTGGGCAGTATTTGATCTCTTTGTGGGTATATGTCCCTTGATATATGATCTCTGATCCTTTGCGAGTCACATCTTAGGATGTGAGGTTTCTTTTATGATTGTGAGTGTATATCTTAAGACAGCAGTCCCCAACCTTTTTGGCACCACATATTGGTTTCATGGAAGATGATTTTTCCATGTACCCCAGGGGGTGAGGGGTGTGGTTTTGGGATGATTCAAATGCATTACGTTTATCGTGTATTTATTTCATTATTATTACATTGTAATATATAATGAAATAATTATACAACTCACCATAATGTAGAATCAGTTGGAGCCTTGAGCTTGTTTTCCTCCAACTAGACATTCCCATCTGGGGATGTGGGAGACAGAAGACAGTGACACCTGAAGTGTGTTACGTATGTCCAGACTAATCTTGTTTTGGTTGCTGTCACTGCAGAAAACCCTGCTTCACAAAGATAAGATGTTAGAAATGGAAGCAGGCTTCTCAGTGCTTTTGTGGCAATCTCAGGATATTCTGCCTTGACTTTAATCCAAAACGTATGGAGATTTGACGTTGTCTCAAACATACTGTTAAGGCCACTATCATTTGCAATCTCAAGCAGTTGATTTTCTTCTAGCATGGAAAAAGTCCATTCACCTGGCTTATTCACAAGTGTGTCCCAGATCTAGTCCTTCCCAGTTTGGGGATATTCTGTGGTTGGGAAGTAATGTTCAAACTCTTTTTAAAGTTGAGATAGGTGATTATGCACCAGCTGGGAGAAAGAAGGCCCCAGCTCAGTCTCTTTCAAAATCTCTGCTAATGTTTGAAACATGTCAAGAATCCCAGTGTTCACTAGTCGCCCCCATAATTCCAGTTTGGCTTTGAATGCAGCCACTGTATCTGTGTACTTGAACACAGTTGTCCTTCTCCCCTGAAGTGACAGATTGAGTTTGTTGAGCAGGTTGAATATGTCACACAAGTAAACAAATTTTGCAGCCCATTCTGTGTCACTGAAATGTGCTGCCAGTGGTAACTGTTTTTCTAAAAGATATCTCTAGAGTGCCTCTTGTGACTCAAAAATTCTGGCCAGTGATCTACCTTTAGAAAGCCATCTCATTTCTGTGTATAAGAGAAGATGTGTGTGCTCTGCATCCATCTCCTCACAAAGCTGCGTGAACAGACATGAGTTAAGGGCATGTACTTTGCTTGATAATTTTAATCACATCCTGCAAAATGTTTGGTTTAGGTGACATTTTTCAGCTAGCCAGCATTTCTCTATGGATAACACAGTGTGTAGACTCACATTCAGAAGTGACCTCCTAAACCAAGTAGTGAAACCAGAAAGCCGTCTAGTCATGGCAGCTGCTCTCTAACAATTGTGCTTCCATGTCCTCTGCTATTTCGTCAACACGTCTAGTTATGGTGCTAGCCAAAAGAGGAGTACATGCCACCTTTTGAACTGTAGCCTCTCCTAGAAGTTCATGGCCAGTGTCCTTAGCAGCGGGCAGGATCGACTGTTCACCAATACTAAGGGGCTTCTTAGCTTTAGCAATGTGGTTAGTCACTGAGAATGATGCTCTCAGTACAGACACATTTGATGAAGCGGTGGCCGTGAATAATTGCTTCTGTTCTTCATGTTCACGTTTTGTGCTTTGACACACTTCAAAGGCTTGTCTTTTAATGCAGGATGCTTGGTCTACATGTGGTGAAGCACTTTTGAAGGTTTCATGGCTTCGTTGGATAGCAGGTTACCACATACTATACAAAGTGAGCTTGGAGAATGTGAATCACCTGTTGCAGTATACCTGTAATTTAGGTAGGATTCTCAGTATTTTCTTTTAAATGCTGCTTTCATTTTGTTGGCAGCCTTAGCGTCTTTTGCTGTCTCATCATTGTGTCTTTCCTCCTTTTCAAAGCTCTCCAGGGACATTTGTTTTTTACTCATTTTTGCTAGGGTTAGCTTGTGGGCTTACCAAAACCATGACTGAGACAAGGGTGCAGTGCAGAAAAGAGGTCCAGACGAAAGTGGTAAGTAAAATAATGGGTGGGCCATGTGCGGACTAAGGTAAGTGTCAGATTCTAACTTAAAGCCTGCCACCAGATGCAGCTATACAATGAAGTACCTCAACTCAACTTGCCGCTATAAAGCCTGTCACCAGATGCAGCTTTACAATTGAAGTAAGATGCTCCCTTGCAACTCCAAAGCTTGCCACCAGATGCAGCTTAATTGTCACTTGCGACTCATGGATAGGGTTTTGATATGAGTCTGCAAGCAACTGATTTATTATGTTCTCTGTACAGTCAAACCTCTCTGCTAATGATAATCTGTTTTCGCAGCCACTCCCTAGCACTAGCATCCCGGCCTCAGCTCCATCTCAGCTCATCAGGCATTAGATTCTCATAAAGAGCCACAGCCTAGATCCCTCACATGTGCAGTTTACAGTAGGGTTTACGCTTCTATGGGAATCTAATGCTGCTCCTGATCTGACAGGAGGCAGACCTCAGGCAGTGATGCGAGCAACGAGGAGTGGCTGTAAATACAGATGAAGCTTTACTAGCTCACCATTCACCTCTTGCTGTGTGGCCCAGTTCCTAACAGGCCACAGACCAGTACCAGCCTGCAGCCTGGGGGGTGGGGACTGCAGTCCTAAGACATGAGTTCTCTGGCCTCTTTTTGGGTATATGTCCTAGAATGAAAGGTCTTTCATCTAGTTCTGTGTGTATTTCCAGCTTGCAAGGTCTGTTACCTGTTGGTAGGTGTATGTCCAAGGGTGTAAAGTCTCTGGTCTCTTTGAGGGTCTGTGTTCCAGGATGTCAAGTCTCTGATTTGGTTGTGGCTGGATGTCAAGGTATGAGTTCTCTGAGCTCCTTGTGGTTCTGTGTCTCAGGATGTTCTAATCCGTTCCTGTCTGTTTATCAGCAGTGTATGGTCTCTGATCTGTTTGTGGCTCTATGTCCCAGGTTGTTTTGACCTGTCTTTGTCCCAGCATGTGAGGTCTCTAAGGTGTTTGGGGTCTCTGTTCTTTTTGGGGCTGTGTTTCCTAAGAATTTGAATTTTCTGAGCTCTGTGTGTGTGTGTGTGTGTGTGTGTGTCACAGGGTGTGAAGTCCCTGATCTGTTAGTTGATGTATGTCCAGGATGTGAAGTCTCTGATCGCTTTGGGTGTGTATGTCTCACATGACGATTTGATGTTCTGCACCCAGCATATTAATTCTCTGAACTATATTTTGGGGTCTGTACCGTAAGTTTCAGAAGGATTTCTGAATCCTGAATTTGAGGGTTCTGCACTTTTTCTGATCTGCATTCCAGGGGGGTGAGTTCACTGGGCTGTTTGGGTAACTGTGTTTACATTGTGAGGGCTCTGAGCTATTTAGCTGCTTGTGTCCTAGGAGACGTGGTCCCTGAGCTCTTTTGGTTTCAAAGTTCCTTGACCTGTTTGGGACATATTTTCAGGTGTAAAGTTTGTATTCCTTTTGGGAGGCCTCAGTCCTAGAGTGTGATATATCTGACTCGTTAGGGGTTTGTTCCAGGGTCAAGGTTCAGATTTTAATGAGTATGTGTGCACCAGTGAGTGACTTTTCTGAGCTGTTTGGAGGTCTCTGTGTGTGAAATCGCTTAACTCTGTGGTGGTCTCTGTGTGGATTATGGTATCTCTGACCCACTTAGCAGTTTCTCTTTTCAGGTGTGAGGTGTCTGTGACCCTTGGGTGAGAACTCCGATGTGTTTAGGTGTCCTCCCTCTGAACTGTTTTGAGCTGATGTCCCAACAAATGAGTTCTCTATGATGTTGTGGATTTTGTCCTAGAGTTGATTTTTCTGAGCATTTTCCAGATCTCTGTCCAGACTGATGTCTTTCTACTGATTTATTTTTACTGTTTCAGGCCTTGGAGGTGCATCACCCTTTGTGTCACAAAGTGTGAGATCTCTGATCTCTGTATTCCTTGGTGTTGAGGTCCCTCAGCTATTGGGTTATGTTTCCAAGGGCAAGGTAGTTACTGTTGCAGGAGTCTCAGTTCCAAGGTATGAGGCCTCAGACTTATTAGGTATCTGTTTCCTGAGTTTGAGGTCTCTGAGCAGTTTGGGGTTCTGTTATCAGTTGCTGATGTTTCTAGGGTATTTAGAGGTCTGTGCTGAGAGTGTATGTCACTGAGCTGTTTGGGGATCTGTGTACTAGAAGGTAAAGTTGGTTAACTCTGAGCATTTTGGCATTGCCTGTCTGCTGTGTGAGGTCTCTGGCGTGTTTGAGGGTCTATTTTCCAGGTCGTGAGGTTAACTCTTTGAGGGTTTGTGTCCCATAATATGAGGTGCTTGAGCCGTGTGGGCATATGTAGTCAGGATATGATGCCTCTGAACTGTCTGTCTCCCAGGTTAGACGTCCTCTGAGCCATTTGGGAGTCTGTGTCCACAGTGTGAGGTCCCTAAGCTGTTTTGGGTCTGTGTCCCAGTTATGAGGTCTCTCTGCTGTTTGTGATCAACTTTGCACAGAATGTGAGGTTTCAAAGCTGTTTGGTGATATGTGTCTATGACTTCCAGGTATCCGAAATCTTTCTGGATATGAGTTCAAAGTACAAGTTCCATGAATGATTTTGAGGTCTAAGTCCAGGGTGTGATATTTCTGAAGCATTTAGAGGTCTATGTTTAGAGCGTGAGGATTGTGAACTATTTGAGGTTGGAGCCTAGGATATGAGGTTTCTAAGCTGTTTGGGGTCTGCGTCCAGGATGTGTGATCTCAGAGTTAGTTAGGGTCTTTATCACAGAGTGTGAGGTCTCTAAGCTATGTAGAGGGTTTGTGTCCAGATTTTTCAGGTCTGTGAGGCCTCTGAGCTGTTTGGGGATCTCAGTGTATAATGGCTGTGAGGTATTTTTGGGAAATCTGTGTCCAGTAAATGATGCCTCCAAATAGGAATCGGTGTCCAGGGTGTGAGCTCTCTGAGTTGTTTTAGGACCTGTGTTCCCGCGTATGTGATTTTGGAACTCTCTGGTGTCGTGTTCAGGGTGCGAGGTCTCTCCACTGTTTGTCTATCTTTGTCCGTTTGTGAATTCTCTGAGAAATTGGCCGGTCTTATTCCTTGCTTGTGACTGAAGTCTATGAGCTTTGTGAGGGTCTACAAGATTTTGGGCACGTGGATTACAAAGTGTGAGGTCTCTGAAGTGTTTGGTAGTCTGTTCTAGGGTGTCCTGACTCTGAACTGTTTGGAGGTCTGTGTCCGAAGGTGTGAGGCCTCTGAGCTATCTATACAGATTTGTTTCCCAGGTATGAATTCTCTGAGTGGCATTTGTTTCCAGGCTGAGATCTCCAAACTCTTGGAGTCTCTGCCCAAGACCTCGTGAGGTCTCTGGGATGTTTAATGGTCTGTTGTTTAGAGTGTCTCTGAGCAATTTGGGGGTCTATGTTGAAGGTATGAGTTTCAGAACCACTTAAGGATCTATGGCTGGGTGTGATGGCTCACGCCTGTAATCCCAGCACTTTTGGAAGCCAAGGTGGAAGATCACTTGAGGCCAGGAATTCAGAGTGTAAGGTCTCTCAGGCGTTTGGGTGGTCTGTGTCCAGGGTGTGACATCTCAGCCGTTTGAAGGTATGTCTCAGGATATGAAATGTCTGAGCAGTCAATGATCAGGCTCCAAATAGTTTGGGTAGTGATATCTCAGGTTGTGAGTTCTTTGAGATGTTTGTGCAGCTCCATCACAGAAGGAAAGTTCTCTGGTGTGTTTGGAGCATGGATCCTGGTGTATGAGGCAACATGAGGTCTCGGAGCTACTTAGGAGTCTGTGGCTCATGGTTTTGTTGAAGCCTGTTATTTGGGGTCCAGGTATGAGAGCTCTGAGCTTTATGTAGGTATGTAACCCAGGATGTGAGGTTTCTGAGAGGTTTGAGGTCAATATTCAGAGTATAAGGTCTATGAGCTATTTGGAAGCCTGTGTCCTAGGTGCCCTGTGTGTGAGGTCTCTGGATTTGGGGATCTTTATCACAAGGCATGAGGTTTCTGGGCTGTTTGGGATGCTGTCACCTGTGTGTGAGATCTTTGAAATATTTGGGTATCTGTGTCACAGCACATGAGATCTTGGAGCAAAAACAAAGAGTGCTGGCTCACGTCCAGGTTGAGGGATGACGAAAACAAGTTAAGTATATTTGAAACGTTATGTCTTGTTATGTGCTTTATACCCTGGCACACATAGGTGCTCAATAAATACTTGCAGAAAAAGCTTCTCCAGGCCAAGCACAGTGGCTCATGCCTGTAATCCTAGCACTCTGGGAGGCCGAGGCAGGTGGATCCTTTGAGCTCAGGAGTTCGAGACCAGCCTGGGCAAGAGCAAGACCCCATCTCTACCAAAAATAGAAAAAATTAGCTAGGCATGGTGGCACATGCCTGTAGTCCCAGCTACTCAGGAGGCTGAGGCAGGATTGCTTGAGCCCAGGAGTTTGAGGTTGCTATGAGCTAAGCTGATGCCACAACACTCTAGCCTGGGCAACAGAGCAAGACTCTGTCTCAAAAAAAAAAAAAAAAGATTCAGTAAGACTAACTTCCTATTTGGTTAAAGATAAAAGAAAAAAATAATAAAAATAAATTACAAATTATTTAAAAAAATAAGAAAGAAAAGAAAAGAGCAGAGCAGAGCTTCTCCAGCACACACAAACTTTTCTTTTTGAATGCAGGAGGCAGGCTCTGGGTTCAAAGCCTTTAAGAGCAAGGAGGTTCCTGCTAGAATTATACCGTGTTTCCCCGAAAATAAGACAGGGTCTTATATTTATTTTTCCTCAAGAAGACACCCTAGGGCTTATTTTCAGGGGATGTGTTATTTTCCCCTCAAAGCCTCAGCTTACAGCACACGCAGGATGGCTGGGACCTGACAAGGAGCCGACCTTGTTGGTGGGGCTGCCCGCAGCTGTCATGATGGGGCAGATGAGAAGGGCTGCTCGTCTTGTTTACCGCTCCTCAAGGAAATGCATGGGTTGTGCAGATACGCTGTGTAGCCACACCTATCACTAGGTCTTATTTTCGGGGTAGGGCTTATATTGCGCAAATGCTTAGAAATCCTGCTAGGGCTTATTTTATGGGTAGGTCTTATTTTTGGGGAAACACGGTATCATATTTCTGTATTTCCACTGTATTTATTTCTCTGGTTTTGTTTGACAAATGCTAATGTTTGCCCGTTTGGACAGCAATGGATTTAGTTTGC